GGGGTCAGTTGCCCCCCCCCCAGGCAATCAGCAGGCACACCTGCCCCCACCCCACCCGGAAGATCCCACGCTCTGCCAGGGCTGGCCGGCTGCAGTCTGCGCAGGGGCAGGAGGCGGGACAGGAGAGGACAGGCGCAAAGCCAGGAGCACTGCAGAAGCGCACTTTGGGCACTGAACAGGAGAGGCAGGGAAGAGTGCCCCAGGGCATGCGCAGAGGGCCTTTGGCACGCACCACATGGCTTCCAGGCAGGCTCTGCTTGTTGAAGTTCAGCACTGGCCACAGCTCGTAGGAGCGGGAGGGATGCGGACCCAGCCCCAGGCCCACCCCAGCCAGCCCCCCATTGCCCAAACAAGCACGGACTCTGGCCCCACGCCGATCTGGAGGCCGCCCTTGTCGGGGCAGAGTGAAGCCCAAGGAGGCATGCCCTCCCCTCTCCAGGCAGCTAGAACTGGGGTGGGGGGAGATGGGAGCCCCAAGCCCTCCAGGAGAGGAGGCAAAGGGCAGCTCCCCACCACCACCAACGCGCCATCAATGGCCAGGGGAGAGGAGGGGAGGGGGGCAGCTGCTTCTCTGCTAAGGGCCTCCACAGCCAAGGGCGGCAGACGAGGAAGTCCAACAGGCCAGGCCTCTGGGACAGCCACAGCCACAAAGAAGAGGAAGAAGAAGAGGAAGAAGAGGAGGAGGAGGAGGAAGAAGAGACTGGATTTATACCCTTTGCCCCTCACTACCCAAGGGAGTCCTCAGAGCGGCTTACCAACTCCTTCCCCTTCCCCTCCCCACAACAGACTGACACCCTGGGAGGGAGGCGGGGCTGAGAGAGCTCTTGAGAGAACTGCTCCTGAGAGAACACCTCTGAGAGAACTTGTGGCTGATCTAAGGTCACCCCAACAGTTGCATGTGGAGGAGCAGGGAATCAAACCCGGTTCTCCCGGATGAAAGTCCACGCTCCGCCTCCCCCCTGCAGCGCCCTCCCCCACTTCCGTGAGACACACCCTTGAAGACAGCAATGGGGTAGAGGTGTCTCTCCCCCCCCCCTCTCACACACACACAAACTTTTGGAAGCTGCCCAGGTCCCTCCAAGCTGCCCAAATGTTTCTGCCCCTCCTCCATTTCCTCTCAACAACCCAGCGAGGGAGGCGGGCCCAGGGTCACCCGGTGAGCTTCCCAGCAGACTGGAACCCAGGTCTCCGTGAACCCACCCGGGCAGTCTCGCCAGTCACTCTGCGCAGAAGAGGCCCTGCCTGGATCCCCCACCCCAGAGCTCAGACGGTCAGCTCTTCCACCACCCCACCACCCCCACCCCTGGAGAGACCGGAGGAGCAGAGAGCGGAGCTGATCCGAGCAACACCGAGGGCGGCCCGTGGCCGTGCAGGGGAGAGGAGGAGGAGGAGGGCCCCCGCCCGGCCTGGCAGACACACCATCCCGCCGCCGGGGCTGGGGAGGGAAGCCAGGCCCCCTGGCTGCGGGCCCAAGGCGGCCGGTCCCATCTGGCGGCGGCAGGGAGCCAGCCCGCTGTTTACGCTGACAGCTCTCCGCTTCGCTCGGATCCGGCTCTGGAAGGAAGCCCTGACAATGGCAAGAAGGGGAGCCAGGGTGCGTGGGAGGCGGGCAAGCAGGCCGGCT